CCTTTATTTCTAGTGCATGAGAAATACTAAATGCCATAATGCTAAAATGTTTGGGGTGGTTGCTTAATGGACCAAGTCAAAAATCTCTGGTCTCTAGATATGTAGTATTTTTCATTAGTAACATTAACAAACATTGTTGCATTCTGCTTTGCCATTAATCAAAATTTAGTTTTTGAATTTTTTTAGTGGGTACAACCAAGTAAATTATATCAGTCTCTGTTTTACACTGTTAAGCCTAGGAAAAAATCCCATCAGTCTAGCCGTCTCATTCTAGTGTGAAGATTGCTCATCGAAAATAACTGTGCCTCTGATATACTCGAGGAACCAGAAAGGTTCTTCACATGTTAAAGGTAACATAATGAAATAATAATAATATTAATAACAATAATAATGATTTGTGGAAATCAAAAACAGGATATTTAATGAATACCTGGAATAATAAATGATAAAATGCATTTCTTTCAAAGATTCAGCAAAGAATCACTCAGGCATGATTGAAATAACATAGGAAATTAATACGGGTTATTTTAGACCCATGTGTGTAAAACTGATGTAGAAATACAAAAATGTGTTTGTTTATAAAGTAAGGAAGGAAAAAACAAAATTATTTGTTTAATTCAAAAACAACATATTTAAAGACTATCTGGAATAATAAATGATAGAAAAACATTTATTTCAGATATTCAGCAAAGAAACACTCATCCATAACTGAAATTACATAGGAAATGAATACGGGTCACTTTAGACCCATGTTGTGCATCAAAGGGTTAAAATCCATTCATAATCTTTAAGATTGTTTCAGGGATTCAGCAAAGAAGCACTCAGCCATGACTGAAATAACATAGGAAATGAATAGGGGTCATTTTAGACCCATGTTGTGCATTAGAGGCGAAGTGATACAAAAACGTTTTTTATTAAAAAAGTAAGAAAGGAAAAATGAAAATAATGATTTGTGATGGTCAAAAACAGTCACTTTAGACCCATGTTGTGCATCAAAGGGTTAAACATTAAAAAAATATAATTTAAATGTTAGTCAAACATATCTTTCTCTCTCTCTCTCTCTCTCTCTCTCTCTCTGTGTGTAAAAACTTAAATAATAGATGTACATTTATACAATATTAACTTTTTAGGCATTTATTTAGGTATTTCCAACTTAACCAATCGCTTAAATAATATTAAGAGATTTTATTAAAGTAGTATAGTAAATTATTACAGTCATATTTACAAAGCCACTTAATTATTTTTTAGAGTGAAAACAATCTATACTATATATATATATATATATATATATATATATATTGTAAATTAAACATATACATTAAACTCTACATTTTTTTCAATTCTTTTTTGTTACTAGCTCACCACACTAGACAGGCAGCATTTAACATAATATTTCCCATTATTACTGTTTTACTGTATTTTTTATCAAATAAATAAATCCTTTGTGTTTTCTGAATTGTTATTTTGTTTTTTAGACTTGCATTTGCGTTTGTAATTTGTTATTTTGTTTTCAGAATTGTGATTTGTTTTGCACTTCTCGGCCACCGTAATTTTGTCATACTGACTCATTCACAACTCTAAATAATCTGTTCCAGCAGATGGCCTCATTGAGCCATTTCATATGCAAAAGCCTGCTTAAGCCATGTTTTTTTCCCCCCTTAAAATAACCTGTTCTGCTCTAGTTTTAAGGTTATTTAATCAGAACTGCATTCCATGTTCTGAAAGCATATAAGGTATTGGTCATTAAGCTGTATTGTGTATTGATGTATAACGAAGAAAAAAAGAAAAAAAATGGTGTATATGTAATTATTTTGCAACTAGGAGAAATTAAACGTCCATGATGTATATTTTATAATCGATTTATGAGGGTTTTTGATGGCCACCTCTTACAAAGGTACTTAAGTATGGCAAGCTATGTTAATGTTTACTTCTTCAGAATAACTACTATTGTGTTACTGGCTTTATTTTATTTTATTTTTTTAATTACTTGTTAGGTATCTATTATTGGCTAGCAACTTTAATATAGATAATTCAGTTGTTACTGCTAGATAATAGTACCTATTTATGAGACACTAATATCTATCACAATTGTATGATATCTAATACAAAGTATGAGTAACAGTATGAAGTGAATATCTGATATCTGAACCACAGATCACCATAGAATTCATTGACCAAAAAAAAGCAATTTATTGAACAAAATAAAATAAAATTACAAGAATACAAAAAAGAACTTGACTACATTATTAGATATTAATCACTATGGAATAAGTGTTGGTGTCTACTGAATAGTTGCTAGTAAAATTAAATTGGAAAAAATATATAAGTATGATTTCTTAACAGTGTTTAAAAAAGGAGTAGCCTACTTAGTAACATTAAATTAGTTTGATGGAATACATGTTTAAATGGCTTGCCATAACTTCAGTTCTGTCAGAGCTTCTCAGTGCAAGCCCAGCACAGGAGACTGACCGCAAGCCTTCTGAAAAACTCAAGGAAACTATTGCACTGACAAAAACAAACCTGATGATGCTCAAGACTATTCGCATCAGTCCCCAGAGACAGACATATATGTTTTTACTGTGCAGAAATTGAAATCAATAGATACTTTCAAGGCTAATCCGTGTTTTTTCTTCTTTTTTTTCTTTTAGCTTATTTATTTATTTATTTTTATTTATTTATTTATTTATTTATTTATTTATTTATCTATTTATCTATTTATTTATTTTTAAGTAATGCACTGTAACGTTGACATTGCAGGAATATGCACGCTCGACTGCTAATGCACATGTGATGCTGCGAGACAGGACGAGAGTATGAGCTATAATTCCACATGATGTGCATGGGACGACAACAGCCTTTCCTTACAAGACCAATGCAAACGCCTTAAAACCACTTTTAAGGAAATCTAAAGGAAGGAAGATGTTTTTTCTTCACGCGCAAGATGGAACGGGGACAAATCGGACGCCTGAAAATCGAGAAGTGCGCCAAATTGCGCCTATGACTTTACTGTTGAGTCTGGTGCGTTTGCAGCTTATGATCAGTAGAATCGAAATGCGCTGAACGCAACACAATACAGGATGTATACAGAAATGCAACGCAGAGGGCAATGAAAGACTTTGTTTGTTATCGGTTAAGTGAAGCCTTTTGGCAAAGCACTTGAGAAAAGGAGCGGAGAAATCTTGAAATGCGCACCTCTTGCTGTTTCTAACGAACTGTCACCCGCTCTCTCTCTCTGAACGGAGAGTCAGCTTTGGGAACAACATGACACGGACGCGCTTCTGCTGTCATTAACGGGGACAAATCAGACCAACGCAGCGGCAATCCGATCAATAGACTATCGATAAGCTCATATATAAGGCTAATCATCACGCCTGCCTATGTTTGCTTACCCTGTTTAGGAGAGTATGCTGTGGGACGATGAACAAACTGCTGACAAGGTACTGAAAGCAGAAACGGTCTTAATTAGACACTAATCTGTTTATAAGGAAGATTAAGTGATAATTAGACTAAATGTATGTTTTTTTTCTTCTTCTTCTTTTAGTCATATTATGTTCATTGGGAAGATCTGTGGGAGTTCATGGATCTATTTTTGAGCTCCTCAAGAGATTTTTACATTGAAATTATGATATGTGTTTTGCAAGATGACTGCTACAGTCAGCATAGCGTCAGACAAACCAGATCAACTAGTTGCTCCGATTCCTGTGTAAGCACTCTCGGTTTGGTGTGGAATTATGGGGTGACTGCTCAGTCGACTCGGTGAAGAAGCTATGGATGTGAACTACTCCACGGTCCTGGACAGCAGTGTGTCACAGCGCGATTCGTCGAAGCGAGTTCTGACTGGTTGTTTCCTCTCGCTCCTCATCCTGACCACCCTGCTGGGCAACACTTTGGTCTGCGCTGCGGTCACAAAGTTTCGTCACCTGCGCTCAAAAGTCACCAACTTCTTTGTTATATCGCTGGCTATTTCTGACTTGCTGGTGGCCATTTTGGTGATGCCATGGAAAGCGGCCACCGAGATTGTAGGGTTTTGGCCATTTGGCGCCTTCTGCGATGTCTGGGTGGCCTTTGACATCATGTGTTCCACTGCCTCCATCTTGAATCTGTGCGTCATCAGTGTGGACCGCTACTGGGCCATTTCTAGCCCGTTCCGCTACGAGCGCAAGATGACGCCCAAGGTGGCGTTCATCATGATAAGTGTGGCGTGGACGCTATCCATCCTTATCTCCTTCATCCCCGTGCAGCTAAACTGGCACAAAGCCCAGGCGACCAGTTACACGGAGCTGAACGGCACCTACGGCGAGCTTCCTCCAGACAACTGCGACTCCAGCCTTAATCGGACATATGCCATCTCTTCTTCCCTGATCAGTTTTTACATTCCTGTGGCCATTATGTTGGTCACTTACACCCGCATCTACCGCATTGCCCAGAAGCAGATACGCCGGATCTCGGCACTCGAAAGAGCGGCCGAAAGCGCCAAGAACCGCCACAGTAGCATGGGTAACAACGGTAGTATGGAGTCTGAAAGTTCCTTCAAGATGTCCTTCAAGCGTGAAACCAAAGTTCTCAAGACCCTCTCGGTCATCATGGGCGTTTTCGTGTGCTGCTGGCTGCCCTTCTTCGTCTTGAACTGCATGGTTCCTTTCTGTAACCCCAACGAGAGCTCTGACTTCTTCTGCATCAGTTCCACCACCTTCGATGTCTTTGTCTGGTTCGGTTGGGCCAACTCCTCACTCAACCCCATCATCTATGCCTTCAATGCTGACTTCCGAAAGGCATTCTCCATCCTGCTGGGCTGCCATCGACTCTGCCCCGGCAGCAACGCTATAGAGATTGTGAGTATCAACAACAACGGTGGCCCTCCGTCTACTTCTCAGTATCAGCCTAAGGGCCACATCCCAAAGGAGGGCAACAACAGCAACTATGTGATCCCTCACAGTATCCTCTGCCAGGAGGAGGAGAACCAGAAGAGGGAGGACGACTCTGGGATAAAGACCTTTGAGAAACTGTCGCCTTCCATGTCAGGCAATTTGGATAGCGATGCAGATGTCTCGCTAGAAAAGATAAACCCCATAACACAAAACGGGCAGCACAAATCCATAACCTGCTGAGCATTGGGTGAGATCTGACCCCAACAAAGAATCCTTGTTTCTATACAGTACGGAACCCAAAAAAGCTTCACTGAGGACCTTAAAAACATTTCTTGGACTAAATGAAACTTGCAGAAAACAAAAGAATGTCTTCACTGAAGACCTTAAAAACATTTCTTGGACTACATGACACTTGCGGAAAACAAAAGAATGTTCCAATTGATGGCACTTTATGCTGGATAACTATCTGCAAAATATTCGCAGCATTTATGATTGACGTTACCAGGTCAGTTGTGGCAAGATATAAATGGAAAGTAATGTGAATAAACCATGTATGCATATGTATACATGTTATGCATTTAAAATGTGTATACATGCGCATGCCCATGTGGTTGTGGTAGAACTGCTGTTGTTAATACAAGAGTTAGGTCACTAGTAAAATATCTTGTAGGTGAGTTTACGTAAACGGCTCACGAGTAGAGAAATCCGGTTGCGTCTACTGTCGACAATAAAATGTACATAGTGTTGTTTATATTTTTCACCATTTATCAGAGTTGGCTAAGTAAGCATCTCCTTACGCTGCTAGTTGTGAATTTGTATGTGCAAACCACCCCATAATGTAACTTGAGAGCAGTAGCCATTCTCATCCTAGTTCTCTACGTGTGCATTGGTGTGATGTCAAAGAAGTCGAAGAGCAGTGGATTTTTCTGCTATGTGATTTATCAGCTGTGGAAGTGGCCATAATATTTGGATGTAATTTTTAATATTTTGATGTCAAAGACCCCTTCCTTACCCAACCCAACCCCCTTCCTCACCGACCAACCGTTCACTTGTCACAGCACAGGGAAAAGACGATCCCAGTGGTAATCTCATCAGTCGTTACCTACACTTCGATTGTCATTATTCTCACACATTAAAAGGGAACATTTTTTTATTTTAAACCCTGTGCACAAGAGACCTGCACAAGGTGTACTTGTATCCATCACAGTGTATATAAATGATAGAAGAAGCCTCATGTAGATCCCAGCTCTGCTTTTCCTCTTTGATTCCATCCACTCTAAATGTACAAAAGTAGTTCCAGGCACCACGGCTGCCTTTAAACAGTTTCTTTTGCCAACTACGTGGATGAACTTTGGTCTAGGACAGTGTGAAATAACGCTAATGCATAACGGAAAAATTTAACTGTGTCTCATGCAACACATCTGTCCAGCTACCCAGAAAGATGTTGTGACCTTTCCGAAAACACTATAAGAAGCACTCTGTAGGTCTTTCTAGCGCTTCAAAGCATATCCAGGATGAAAACCATCTTGCATCATGCATATAGTTATTGTGCAGAGCCCAGCCCCTGAACTGTTATGTCAGCTGTCAGATGGGTGGGAGTATGGTTACCAACATATGTCACATCCTTAGGTACATTGTCTCTCAATTTGCCTTGAAACAGTTTAACCATTTTAAATTGTTTATCCCTGCACAAACATGATCTGTGGCGTATAAACTGCCGTCCTAGTTTTAATAATTTGTTGAGCTGTTTTGTTAGGTTATGCAACTGCCTTTGATCTAAGTTAATTCCAGGGCCTACCATCCAGTGAGCGCTTCCCATGAACATCAGGATTTGACCGAACTGATACACATGAGCTTGTTCTCAGAGTGCACTAGGAAAAAATGCAAGATGCAAACCAGACCAAAACGATTACTGTAAATCAATCAAGGTAGCTTTCAGATCAGTTTGCCCCCTTTTAGCTGATCATATAAACCAATTTAGTTCACATTGACTCTCATAACCCACATAGTTCACATTGACTCTAAAGAGAAAGACTCTCATATTTCGCCTTCAGTAATACCAAAATGCTGAGGACATCATTATCAGCAGCCTTTGCCAGCTTCCTTCTCACTTACCCGAATACTCTCCTCCTCTCTAAAAGCTTGACAGAATGAACTACAACCGCTCTATATGTTTGACTCCAAACTATATGAATGGAGTAAATGTGTTCGTGCGACTTGGACAACTTGGGGAGAGAGAGACTAGATGAACAGACTTCAGTACACATATTTGTCTAAAATTGGACATCTGCTCCAGGGAATTTTCCAGAAGACTCTGTTTACTCATCTGCCTGTCAAAGACCCGTTCTTCACAATGCTGCTGTGGAAATATTCAGCTATATGTTTTATAGAAAGTTCATCTTAATGACCGCCACGTTTCAAATAGCATTTTTAGCTTTAATGATGGAGTATATAAGATAGTTGGTTTCAGCAGCATTCAGTTAAGTAACATCCGATTTATTTTCTCCAGTGAGGTGATTAGCATTTTAAATGAACCTTTGTGACATTCTGAAAAAGTCCCAGGTGCTTCTGTTATTGCAAATGCAAAGGTATTCCCAGAAACACTGGGGAATCATGCACTCTAAAAAATGCTGGGTTAAATTCAACCCAGTGCTGGGTAAAATAGGGAGTCCTTTAATTAGAAGTGAATAAAATAACAGTGAGCCAATTTTCTCTTTTTTGTAAACCAAAGATTGCAGGTTTATCTTTTGATTTTGCAGGTGTTGTTCTATATACTTAGACAAACCAGTGATTTCAGCTGACAAACCAGCTGTTTTTCTCTGTTCCTTTCGGAGGAGGTTGTAAATGACAGTTGGTGACAATGGTGAGAGCTTACGATACTGTGTGACAGTGGCAGCACAAACCCCTTGGATCATAACTTTATCAGCTACATTGTACCACTATTTATGAACATTCATTCCGAGATGATACAACCTTAACCTCAGATGCTCAACGAAATTAGCGCATTGTAACATAAACAGGAGAAAAACAAAAACATGTTTTGTAAGATGTTAAAATAGAGATGTGAACACAAGTGCTTTTTATCTTTAAGTCCTTAATCGTGAGTAGAGAAAACAAATGTATGTGTTGTTTTCATGTGGGTTTGTGATGCAGTTAAAGCACTGTACCAGTTTCCGTGATTCCATAAAGTAGGTTGTGTTCCTGGATTAACATGTTTTGTTTGTCCTGGAACAACATTCTTGTGCTTTTGTGAACATGAACTAACCCCAAAACCAGACAGAAATGGTTGGTTGATAATGTTTTTGAAGCCCCAACCCCAGCCTTGAAGGAATACTCTGGGTTCAGTACAAGTGCAAACAAACAGCAACTATACCCCTCCACCCAAAAAAAAATTAAAAAGCAAAAAATTGAAGCTAATAGTTTTATAAAAGCATTCTTCTGTTACAAGTACAGTATTTAATATGTTAAAATAGTTAAAATAGTTTTTACAGTAATTTTATGTTTTTGTGATGACAAAACTGTAAAGCTGGATACGACTTTACACAGAAAAGGTTCAAATCATGCTAACTTGCATATTGTGGATATATTTATGGACTGGCCCCATTCATTTCAATTGTAACCCAAAGTTTTGCTTTTTGAAACAAAATGAGGGACGAGTGGAAATTCATATTTGTGGCAATCAACATCGACTGAGCTTAACTTGTACTGAATCTGGAATATTCCTATTCCTGACCCCAAACCTAGCCTAAAAATGTGACTGGTTGACAGGAATGTTGTTCCAGGTCCACTAAGGATGTCGATCGAGGAACATGTCCTACTTGGAAACATCACGGTAGCTGTACAGGTTCATATGTGTGCTGCAGTTCTTCAAGGTATACCCAACAAATTTATTACAGTACCTAGTTTACAGTTTGTATAAAACGGCCCCTTTCTAATTGCTAAATAAAAGTGTATGTTGTTTTTGCAATCTTGTTTGCTATATATTTTCCCTTGTTTTCATTTTATGAGAAGCCGCAGAATCTGTTATGAGGTATGTCACTTCTAATTCTTTATTTAAAGGTCAACTCTTTGCAGAAAATCAATCGTTATTGATTACACCAACTTTTGTCAGCTAGAAGTGTGTCCTCAATCGGGCAATTTACATAACATTTTGTATTGAGAAGGAAATTTCAGCTCCTTTGATTGATTACACTTTTTCTAACCTTTATTGTCATTCTGTGGGCTGAAGGCTTGTGCGATGAGAGGTATGAGGAGTGATGTGACATGTCATAGGGCCCCTGGAGTAAACTGGAGTTAAGTGTTTTATCCGAGGGCAAAATAGGATGGACAGACGGGACACTAGAATATTAGTATCAGTAACTCAAGGGCAAGAACTAACTCTGACTCCCTCGCTGATCCACCTGGTTATGAATCAATGACATGAGTTCACCCAAAAATCAATGAAAAATGAACATTATTTAAAAACGAAACCTGAATGACTTACTTTCTGTCTTGGATTTTTGGGGGAACTACCCCTTTAACACTCTTTCTACCCCCCGTTTTTGAGCATTTTGTGATGAGACTCTCGTTATTGATTTAATTCAAATTTTCAAACAGGATGCCAGCAGAATTTGAACCTTGAAATGTTATTCTACCCTGAAAGTTGGCAAAAACGGTTTCAGTGCATAATAAAGATGCTGCACGCAGGAGTTCAGCTTTAGTTACAATATTTGTTGAAGGTCAAAATAAATGAGGAGAAGATGTGAATAAATATTATACCACAATCACAAACATTCCTATCCGGACGGGATTAGAGTTCTCAGAGGATCCCAGAGTTATCCAAAGAACAGTTGGCAATTTGCTCCATAATTTATACTGAGATTGTGTGAGAAAAACAGATGTGTTCAATTCAGATGAGATTAAAATCATAAAGTCTGGGAAAAACTGTAATTTACCTGACCTCCTGAGGGAAGACTAGTCCTGTCTGAATAGGACAATTTCAGAAATTACATACTAACAAAAATATTATCTTTGAAAAGTTTGGAAAGTGAAATTAAAATTTAAAAAATGAAAAAATGTAGAGGTATATTCAGGCGGCACTTTTTCATGCATCCAAATTGACTGGTTTATACCTAATTTATGTGTTATTTATATGCTCCTATAAGGACAAAAATGTTACAATAAAAGTAGTCCGTATGACTTACTATTTTCCAAGTCTTCTGAAGCCATACAATACCTAAGCTTTAATGGTTAAGTAAAATGGTCTACTTCAGTTGCAAAGAAAAGAGCAGCCAGGGCATTCCGCTAAATATCTTAATTTTCATTCCTCAGTCGAAAAGAAGGTGACAAAATTAATTGACGGTTTTCAATTC